AACAAGTGTATGCCTGTCTGTTGGTCCACTTAGGAGTCTTGATCCTGGTTGTGTCGTGGTTTGGTGTAGTGGTTAAGTGTGCGGACTCTAATCTGGGAGAACCGGGTTTGGTTCCCCACTCCTCCACTTGCACCTGCTGATGTGACCTTGGGTCAGTCACATGCTCTGGCACAGCCGTTCTTGAAAAAGAGCAGTTTCTGTCAGAATTCTCTCAGCCCCACCTACCTCACAGGGTGTCTGTTGTGGGAAGGGGAAGGGAAAGGAGTTTGTAAGCCGCTCTGAGACTCCCTTGGCGGGGTGTAAATCCTATCTTTTCTTCTTCTTCTTGTGTGGTGGGCTAGTTGTGGCAAATGGTAGGGAAGCTCAGTATTTCTGTATAAAGTTGTAGGGGCTTTATTGCAATGTGGTATGGCCTGATATTATATTCTTATTCCAGTGTGGGGTGTGTGGGGGGCTTTCTAAGTTTCTAAGCAGTGTTCTAAGAAGGCAACTGTTCCTGGGGTTAGCCCAGCCAGGGACATTGCTAGGGCGGTTCCCAGGCCTCCCTAAATTTCTGGGGAGCCCATCCCTAAATCCCACATGGGTCCACCTCCATAGATAGTGACCATGCCTGTGATGTCACTAGCTCCTCCCTATGATGTCATTGGGTCCCAGTTCTTTTAATGACTTAGCAATGCCTCTGGCCCAGCCCCAGCCCCCCCCCCGGGAAATTGGAAAGTCTACACCCTTGGATCTCATGTTATACGTATGCTGATATAATGATTTGCACATCCAGATATGGAGCAGCACAAGCAATTCAGTGCCTTGTGGGTGTATTGCCAGATATGTAAATATATAATTTAAGGGTAAAATTGAAAGCACAGTAATTTGTGGGAAAAAATCTCAAGAAATAGACAGGGCAAGCTACTGGGCATTGTGGTAAATTATCGCTTGGGCAGAAATAGCACTACTTATTCAGTTTCCTGGCATGTTTAAAATACGTAGATTTATTTTCTTCAATTTCTGTTGTGCTGGCAAGCAACTTATATAACCTTCCATCTGGCAGCTGAGTAAAGCAATACTTTTTCTTATAAGGAAGTTTAGTTATTAGAGCAGTTAAACCCTGCAGACTGGTCAAATAACAGAACAATAAAACAAAGCAGTCATATTTGTTTCCCATAAATTCCGAACAAGGTATCAGCCTGTGATTTGCAGTTCTACATAAATCTGAAGCAAGTCTTGAGAATTATTGTGGAAGTCATTCCATGGCTGTGAAATTTTGCCAGGACTGGCTCTGAAGTTCATGAATATATGGAGGAGAAAACTTTTTGTTAAGTTTCTCTAGATGTCAGAAATTAAAATGCCCCCCCTCGTATTTCCCTTCTCTTCATAATTCAATTTATGAATGTACTCAAACACATTCTGCTGGTTAAATTTGGCTTAGAAATTTTCCCCTTAAATAGGTCTGCTGACAGTACATGAAAATATCCATTTAACTTAGCATTTGGCCATTGAAGACATTGTGTTAACTGTTCTATTTTAAAATGTAGTCCTTTGAATTTTACAGGGTGTTTTTTTTAATTGCTGATGAATGTTAAAAATAACCAGCCTATCCAGTCGATGCATAATAGTTTTGTACTGTGTAAACAGAAACAGTTTTGTAGTAATGCCATGTATTTACATCTCCTAACATAAATTTAAGTGGCTTAGTAAGTTGGTATTTTAATTAGCCAAGATGTGAAGGATCCATTTTAAAAGGTAACCTAATACAATATATGAATGATCATTTCATTAAATACTGATTAGAAATATTAGAATTGAGAAGAGGCAATGTTTCCAAACTTCCAAACTGATTTATATAATAATTCATTTGTGAGCTGGAACCTAGAGGTAGTTACATTACTAGAATGTGTGCAGTGGCCTCATTCAAAGGCATCAGAGAGTGGAACCCCCAATGTATGCACCAAAGTCAGTCTAACAGAGTAATCCATGTACAAAAGTCTACTTTTCTGTGCAAGTTTCCCTTACTGATTTGCAACACATATCAATTGTGTGTGCGTGTTTTAAAAAGTGTTAATATATGTTTAGGTGTTTATAAGGGATTATAAGTATTCATGTTTTATCTGAAACTTCGCAGTGTGTTTTATTTCAAAATTTCTTTGTAACTCTCTCAAGTAATAAATATTAGAAGAAATCTGTGACTAGTGGCACTGTTTCTTGTTTGTTTATTTAAATAAATGTGTACATTTTCTTAATCGGTAGAATTTGAAGAAGATTCAGGAAATGGATAGAAAAGGGAGTGATGAATCCACAGATCTTGATGAGTTAAAAAATGCTGATTGGGTAAGATTACCTTGAGCCATTATTTTAATAAAAACATATAAATACTGTGCTGTTTTATTATTATGAGGATGATAATGTATTCATGCTACTTGGTATATGTGTGTATAGTTGCTTGGGATAGAGGGAGCTCCATATTTATTTTGCAAACTTTAGCATGAAATGCACTGGATGTTTTAAAAGTAAGCATTGACAAAACCTGCATTTTTAAAATAAATTCTAGTGGAACATACCGAAAAGATGCTTCCATGCATGTACAGGGACTGTACTGAGGGTCAAACTACATGTTACAGCATCCACAGGTTTGACCCATTTTACAGAAAATTTTTACTGTTTTTAAAAAATGCTGATTGGGTCCATGTCACAGAGGAGCCAAGGGACCTTGTCCCCGCCCCCAGACCTTTTCAAGTACTGAAACAGAGTGTTCGATACTTGAAAAGATGTGGTGGGGGGGAAACAATATCGCCTGGTTAATGATATGGTTACATGGTGATAGTGTAGTTGAAAGCAGATAATGTTCACTGTTATCTTTTCTACCCTTGGTACATGACTGTAAGAAATACAGCATTTGGCCTCATTCTACATAAGTTTTCTGGCAAAAAAGTTACTTCTCCTTCATGGGAAAATAAGGGAACTGTCGGTAAAACAGAGCTGTTACTTCTAATATGAGCTAATTTTGCAAAAAGTGGTGCATTGTTTTTCAGATATAGCAAGGTGGAGGCAATTATTTGTCCAGGTGTGTAATTTAAATTGTGTTACAATGTACAGCTAAAATGTAAATGATATAATATTTACTCAAATGCAAGACTAGGTTTTTTCCAGGTATGTCATTTAAAAAGGGATGTGTCACCTTAAATTCACATGTAAGTTACAGTCCAACAAGGGAAAAAAACTTCTTGTGTATAAAATTTTCAGAGTGGGATCATACTATATTCAGGGTCATCTTTCTTTCAAGTAAATATGATAAGAATGATAAACTCTGACAAACCACCTCTTATCATTTTAGCTTTAGTGACAGTGTGGCTACTATATCAGCCTTTTGGCTTTCTCAAAAGTTGCATGGTTGCCATTTGTTTCTTTTAAAATAAAGTTTTAAAATCTATAGTGGTTTCATGATGTTGTTGTTGTTGTTGTTGTTAGCCATTCAGTCATGTCCAACTCTTGGCGATTCTGTGGGCCAGCTCTCTCCACGTTTTCTGATCTTATACTGTTTCTTTGAGTCGTTCCATGCTCAGGCTGGTGTCGACTTTTATGGTGTCTAGCCACCGTGTTATTTGGTGACCCAGTTTCCTTTTGCCGCTAACCAATCCAAGCATAGTGGTTTCATAGGTAGGGAGAAATGGACAATAAGGAGAATTTGGGTTGGATCCTGGAGATCTGCTAACAGAGGTGCTTTCCTGTGACAGAATAAGAAGCCCTCCCATGACAGAAGTTGTTTTGAAAAGTTTCTTGCATCAGGGATAGCTCTTTCTACCAAAGACAAACAACTCCACTAATGGAATGAGTCCACAGGATCAAATTCATTATTGTGCTTCCATGAAAATATCTGATATTGGAAAATAAGAAATAATAAATTCAGATACACTAACAGTAATCCTTAGCAGGTCTGCTCAGAGGTAAGTCCCATGTTAGGCAGTGGGGCTTACTCCTATGAAAGCGTTTTTAGCATTGCAGCCTAAAAGTAGATTAAGGTGGGTAGCAGTATTAGTCTGTCTGTAGCAGCAGAAAAGAGCAAGAATCCAGTAGCACATCAAAGACTTAACAAAATATGTGGCAGGGTATGAGCTTTCGTTGAGTCACTGCTCACTTCCTCAGATACTGATCTGAAGAAGTGAGCAGTGATTCACGAAAGCTCATACCCTGTCACATATTTTGTTAGTCTTTAAGGTGCTACTGGACTCTAGCCTAAAAGTACTGCAAGACAACACAGAAATAGCAGAAATTCCCCAAACCCTTCTTTGTTATATATTCTACCCATGCAGGAACAATTCTTTTCATATTTAAGTTTCAAGGATACCCATCTTATGAAGGGAGTTTTGACTCTCGAAAGCTTATACCCTGAAAATCTTGTCAGTCGCTAAGTTGCTATTGGATTCTTTCATTTTTAAGACTCACCATCTGAAGTTTGTAATTTCTATGCAACTTAGCACCACTAAGGAACAGAATTTCTATAAGGCTCAAAGTTGTATGAAGAGGGATTATTATAGGTGGGAGAATCTTTTACCAAATTTGTAATACGTGTGGGTTTGACAAAAGTTTTGCTGAACAACATATAGCAAAGGAAAACACAGAAAATAAAGAGTTAATTGTCTTAATTCTTAATATTTTAGTAATCAAGAAGAGATGTTTACATTCAGAGTTTCTAAAACAAGTAAAAATGCTCATAGAAATTAATTCATGCAGGTATTGCTACCTGTCTATAGATATTTATTGAAGTCCATAATTCTCTTTCTTTTTGTTTAATTTTTTTATGAATGTGATTGAAAAGTTATTTATCTGAATAAGTGATTCATCTCATCAAGTTTATAGTCATCTTCTGATATGTTGGCTAGGCTGTCTGAATAGGCCAGCATTGCCCTAAAAATCTGAAAATATTTCTTCTTGATTTTTCAGGCCCGATTTTGGGTGCAGGTTATGCGAGATTTACGCAACGGTGTGAAACTGAAGAAAGTTCAAGAACGTCAGTTCAACCCTCTTCCAATAGAGTATCAGCTCACTCCATATGAGATGCTGATGGATGATATTCGATCAAAACGCTATACTTTAAGGAAGGTTATGGTAAGTCATAAGAATACAAAAAAGAAAAGTCCACTGTGTATTTCAGTAAAAGTCAAATTTATTATTACTCACATACCAAAGAAAGCTTGTTACATAGGTCTGGGATCCAAAGGTTTCTTCAGATGAGCCTAGGAGATTACCTATCAGTTTTCTATCAGCAGAAGTTCGTGCCACATCACCAATTGCCTTTGAAACTCCTCCCAGTTTTAAATCTGGTTGTCCTGTAGCATGGGCATCTACTGTTGTGAAACACCATCTGAAATTCCCATGGGCATATGGAAGTATTTCCATAGGTCTTTAGAAAAAATGAATCCAGTGTGCGCAAAATGTCTGTCTTACAGGCTGCCATGGTGTTAGCTTTATGAGATGTTATTTGGCTTGTATATGATCATGCATTAATTTCAGCATTTAAGACCCATCTCATGTCTACCTGAAGCCAAACCCTACCATCCTCTTTCCTTCCTTGGTGACAAGTGTTAGTGTGCAATGATGGATCTCATGTTACAATATAAATATATAGAATACATGCATTTGCCCCACATTTCCAATAACGACTGCATTCATAGGGTGTACAAAATCATGTCCCTGCCACAACTGCAGCAGCAAATGGTGCAGGAATGGGCAGGAACAGCGTCTACACACTTTTATTTCCAAGCTGTTCTCACTGCCCCACCTCCAGTCACTCCTCACTTTTCCTATCATGCCCAAACTTTCCTGACTGAGCTGTGCCAACATTACAGTGTGTCTTGGCAAGGAAAGGGGGAAACGCCCAGATGGATGCTCTACCCGGAGACATCCTGCGGTTTCCCCTTTACTTTATATACAACAAGGTTTATATTTTCTACAGAGTAAAGGAAAAATGAGGGTCAGAGATAGGGTTGCCAGATCTGGGTTGGAAAATACCTGGATACTTTGGGGGTGGATCTGGGAGAGGGTGGGGTTTGGGGAGGGGAGGGGAGGAGCCTCAGCTTGGTACAATGCCATAGAGTCCACCCTCCAAAACAACCATTTTCTCCAGGGGAGCTGGCAACCCTAGTCAGAAAAGATCATGCACAGATTGGCATGATGTTTTGTGGATGCTCCCCGTTACTACAGGGACTTTCTACTCTCCATGCTGGGGAAAATCCCCATGTGGAAGCAACTGGTATATGGTCTAAGTCAGCGGTTCTCAACCTGTGGGTCGCAACCCCTTTGGGGGTTGAACGACCCTTTCACAGGGGTCACCTAAGACCATCGGAAAACACAATTTTTTTTTAATTTCTTTATTGAGTTTTCAAAAACATGAACAAACGTCAAGTTATTCTTCCATTATATCACAGATATGCATACAACCCCCTCACCAGCTTTAAGTTCACCTCCAGGCTAACCCTCCACCTTTAACTTCAAATTATACAATTTTTTCCAGTTCTTCTCGAAAAGTAATTCATCTTCTCCCTTCAATACACAAGAGATTTTGTCCATTTCGGCAATTTCAAAAAATTTCTGTATGACCTCCATCTTTTCCGGTATTTCTACTTTCTTCCAGTACTTGGCAAATAAGATCCTAGCAGCCGTTATACAGTGTAATAGCAAATACTTTTCTGTTCTCCCAAAACCCTCTGGGATCATGTTAAGAAGGTACAATTCAGGTTGCAATGGAATAGTTACTCCCATAATTTCTTGCAATAGTTCATTTATCATCCTCCAATATTTCTTTGTTTTGTTACATTTCCACCACATGTGAATGTGAGTACCAACATTCTGCCTACATTTCCAGCATGCGTTAGAGGTTGCCCCTGAGAATTTTGCTACTCTAGCTGGATACAGGTACCACCTCAAGACCACTTTATAAATGTTTTCTTTAAAGGCGGTAGCTCTTGTAATTTTCATATTAGTGTCCCATATCTTCAACCATCTATCCATTTCAATAGTGTAACCTAGGTCTTTACACCACGCTGTCATACTATGTCTCACCACTTCTTCCTTCATCTTGTCTTCCAACAAAGTTCTATACACATTTTTTATAATTTGTTTTCTCGGCCCAATCCAAATTTTATCCATTTCAGAGGGTTTATCATAAAAACCTAGCTTTTTATCTTCCCTATATCTTGCTTGTACCTGAAATACTTGTAGCCATGAGAGTTTCACATTATTCTCTTTCAAACCATCCATGGATTTAAGTTCATTTCTACTATCTAACAAATCCTCATAGCAGATTTTCCTTTCGTATTCATACAAGCTTGGTAACACAAAAGCCTCAATAGGGGACACCCACCTTGGTGCCTTAACATAGAATTGTTGTTTGATATCTCTCCATACCTTTACTAATGTCGCTCTAATATAATGATTTTCAAAGCCTTTTCTACCTTTATCATACCAGACCGTGGCATGCCAACCCATCGGGAGGTCATGTCCCTCCAACTTCAGTAACCTACTATTCGCTAATGTTACCCATTCTTGTATCCATACCATAGAAGCTGCTTTATAGTATAGCTGCCATTCCTGGAAAACCACCTCTGACCATCTCTTGCCTTGAAAACCCCACAGAGTCACCAAAAGTCAGCTGCAGCTTGGCAGTACATTCTACCAACACATATAGGGACATGGATCCAACAATGAATTTCCAAAGACTTAGGGTGCAGAAGAGGAGGTGGCAATTTCTAACAAATCTCACAGACCCTCACGTTTCCCCCTATGTTGTTGTTCAGTTTCTACTGATCCCCAAGAATAAAAATTTGGAAGGTTGAGTGGGCTGCAGTGGGAGGGGGAAGTGATCTGCTCTCTGAGTTCTGGGAATATGTAATGTTGGTTTATTGATGCACAGATAACATTGGGGAAATTTGGGGGCAAGGGAACAGAGGATGCCATGAAAATAAAGTATTATGGCTTTGATTTGCATAAGAGCTAAGCTAGATCAAAAGGAGGTTTTCTCATCTGAAAGAGCAAGAATGAGAATTTTGAATTCCTCACTAGTGGGCAAGCACAGTTTCTCAGTCCACATGCCAGACAGGGTTGCTGTGAGGATGTTTTAGAAATTGCTTATATTGAAACAAAACCCACTCATGTTTAACTCCATTTGGCCCTGTTCATCTCACATTATCCTTGCCTCTCCCTCTATCTGAGTTTGAACTGAAATTTCCTCTGGGTTGGCACCCATCACTTCCTTATAGAGGTGCCAGGTCCCCCTTGCCACTGGTGGGGGATGGGGGGTACATTTGCCAGATCAGGACTGGGAAGCTCCTGAAGATTTGGGGATGAAGCCTAGAGAGGGCAGGGACCTCAGAGAGGTACAATGCCATAAAGTACACCCTTCCACAGCGTCCATTTTCTCCAGGGGAACCGATCTCTGTAGTCTGGAGATAAGCTGTAATTCTGGGGGGTTCCCAGGTCCCACCTAGAGGCTGGCATCCCTAGTTCCTTATGTTGTACATATATGAAATACAGTGGGACTTTTGTGCACTGCAACATCATGCTAAATGTGGAATTTGCACTACAGTCCTAAGCAGAGTTACAACCTTCTAAGCAGCTTCATTTAGACAGGCAGACTGGAAGGTCGGTAGTTCAGCAGTTTAAGACCTGGGTGCCGCATGACAGAGTGAGCTCCTGTCTCTAGTTCCAGCTCCTGCCAACCTAGCAGTTCGAAAGCAAGAAATTGCAAGTAGATAAATAGGTACCGGTTCGCTGGGAAGGTAATAGCATTCCGTGCGCCTTGGCGTCTAGTCATGCAGGCCACATGACCACGGAAACATCTTCGGACAGCGCTGGCTCTTTGGCTTGGAAACAGAGATGAGCACTGCATCCCTTGGGTCGGATTCAACTGGCTTTCGAGCAAGGGAAACCTTTATCTTTACCTAACTCTGCTTACTGTTGGTTTGGGGAGGATTTTAGGGTTGCCAACTCCCCTGGTAGGGCGGAAATCCCCCGCCCCGAAGGCCCCGTTCCCAGATGCCGGGGAATCGGGGCTCGGGGGGAACCCCGCCCCGGCGTGCGCGTCACCAGAAG